ATGGGTTTAGCCAGCCCAAGAGCCTTTTGACATGCTGTTAATTGTGAGCCTGACCCTCTGATTTCCTATTTTAATTTCCTCCCACTCTGCATGCCCTGGAAGCCAGCTAGTCCGTGCTTAGAGAAGACAGATCCTAGAGCACTCTGGAAGCCTATTCTACATTTAATAGGAAATCTTGCTGTGGTGTAAAAGAGAGCTCTCAAAAAAACTGCCTATCTGTTAAAAATGCAACCTCTTATTTCCGTGAACAACTAATTTGTGTTTAAGGAGGCATGTCCCACGTGTCTAGGCTTGCCTCAGGTGGTAAATCCAGCATTTTCTGAGCTCTCATCTACAAATTCTTCTTGTTACCTTATAATTAAAAAAGTTTTTTTTTTAAAATTATACATTTCAGATTTAATGACAAATTCTTAAGAATCAAACATCACAAACCTTGAATTATTGATAAAAACATAAAAACCTAAACTTTCTATTAAAATAGAAAAAAAATCACTGAAAATTTTGATGGGGTAAACAATAGTTCTTCCACCAGCTCTTCTAAATATGATGGTTTAACAACTGACATCAGCAATAATCTTGGGTGTTCTTTGAAGTCACTGTTCCTGCCCTCCTGTGTTTTAACTGAAGAAGGACTAGAAAATGAGGACATATACCCCCAAAACCATGTTTTTCTTTTATACACATTACAAAAATTAACTGACGTAACCGATGATACAGATTTTCTAGTATCATAAGAAGTGCATTGATAAATGTAACAATGGAAAGGATGGCAATGGTTTACTTCCCAGACAGGCGCTGCCTGGGCATCCTCCGGCTCGTGCAGGGGTTGGTTAGAGGCACGCTGCCCGCAGGACCCTGCCTCCACCGGCTGGCAGCAGGATGCGAAGCTCACAGTCTGAGCTAATGGGGCAGATGCCCTGGGAAACGTCTCTGAAGCCTTCATGTAATCACTCAAGACCAAAAAGTTAGTGTTAGTTCTAAATATAGAAACTTCCTGTTGAACAGAAGCTCCTCCTCACAGACACATCCCACACAGGAGCACCTGAAAGAACTGGCTAATTATTAGTTTTGGAACAAGTGCAATTAAGCTAAACATTTTGATTAAGTTCACTTTAAGAAAAGCACCCTCTCGGTGCTGCTGCTGCTTTCATGGAACCTCCTCTGATCTGCAATAAGGGTACTCCAACAGTACCACGTAACACCAGTGTTACATGCTGTGGTGTTCTCATGCATTTTAGTATTACCCAAGAGAGAGAAAACAATGCCAGTTTTTTAGAGAGACATCACCTGGCTTTATGCTTTCATTTCAGAACAATATTGGAAGAGCATTTCTTATTGTGACAGAAAAAAGAAAGTTTGTGAAAAATGTCATAAAAATCCTATCTTTAATTACTATTTAAAAAAATATTTTTCCTTTATTCAAAATCTGGTTGAGTGTAATATTCTACAATTAACTGTCTGGAAGTAGTTATGTCAAAGTTTGCTTTGCCACCTGAAGTTGACAACAGGAAAGAATGAAAATGCATCAGTTCCTGCTGTGACACTGCATTTGAACTGGAGAAAATATTGAAGCTGTGAACCATCGGGAAGAGACCACAACTGGTACCATAGAGCAAGTGGCAGCGGCATTAGCAACATTACCTGTTTTTCTTCCACATTTGAAAGATGGGAAAATCCATCAGTAAAATGCTCATGAAGAAGAATAAGTCAGTTTACAGCTACAAAGCATCTTGTTATCTTTTGTAGATTATGGTCAATTGTTTTCACAAAAAAAATTCCAGTTTACTCTGTGAAAGCAGCTAAATTGTAAAGACTCACTAAAATTAACAGCAATTAATTAAACCCAAGTAAAATAATAATTGGAATTCAGTATATTACTAGCATTAGTATAAATACTATGTTTATCATTCCTGTTTTCATTTATTTCTGTTCTGATACTGGCAGGAATGGAAAATCCACGTTAGCAGTAAGCCACACGGGAATGTCAAGCAGCTTTTGAATCCGAATATGCATAATCCTTCATATGAAACACATATAAAGGTTAAATTGACTCAATTATCCTTCACCTACATGCAGTGAGTCATCATATTAAATATTAATAAAAAACTTTTATTTTCATTATTGCTATAATCTTTGCGCAGGGACAGCTACCACCCTGTCACCGCACAAGCCCTTCTGCAGGATTTGCAACCTACTCCACAAGAGGGCAACCAAATTCCACTATAAAATGGATAAATAATCCTGTGGAATTTAAAAGTGACCATTCATTTTAGCTAAAAGCCGGAATATCTCCCCATCCTAGAGGGGCTGGGAAAAAGCTAGCCAGGCACTTAACTTTGGGGGGCGGGGGGGACCCAACTTCCATCTCCTCTGCCCTCAAACAGCGGTGACAGGGTACCGGTACACAGTGCGGAAAAGGTGTGTTCAAAGAAACCAACCATTTCTCTTTTTATGGGATTTTAGTATTTCTGGATACAGCAAATATCCTGTAACCTTGGGCATAATGCTAAAGCATTTCACTTTACTGACAATAAAGCTACCACAGGCTGGGACATAAACACAGATCGCGAAGTGGCTATGATATAAGCAATTACTCTGTGCCGCGGGTAGAGACAAATGACAAGGAAATCTCTGGCACATTTGATCAACCATCTTGCGGCCCCCGAGTCTTTTGCCTGTAGTCTGTGAGCAGTTCCAGCGTGACTTCCCACGCTAGGGCCGCACGGCCGCAACACGGGAGGTTTGGAAATTGCTGCTCCGCTCACTGTTTGAGGACACACGTGTGGGGAATACCCGTCTAGTCTTGCCACATGACTTGGAAAACGTATCCTGGCTCTGCTGCCTGCTGTTCTTACCCCACTGCTCAGTTGTCTCCTCTGGAGCGCCAAGCAGGTCTGTCCCAACTCTAGCCACGTTTTTCACAACACCTGCTAACATCAACTGGCCCAGGCAAAACGTGCAGTTCTTGAGATTCCCAAATTCTGAACTGAGAGGAGGCAACCTGCTTATTCCGACCCGTGAGAAGTGCAGCTGATACCAGCCCCTGTATCCAGCCAGAACTTAGTGCTCTTGAATCTTCTGTACTTCTCAACAGTTGAAGTAGCTACACTCTGAAGAATCCAAATAATTTGCAATCCAAAAGGCATTGATGCAGCCTACACATATAGTTGTCACACACAATAGTGTCTTTTGGGCTATGTTGGTAAGGTTCAATCTATCCATTCTCTTTTTAGGTTTTCACGTGATAGTCTATTGTTTAACTCAACTATGGCAACACATTAAAAATATCTGCAAGAATACACAGTATTGTCGTCTTTGTAAAAAGAACTTTAACATGTGACGTTCATGAAACTATTTGTAAAAAATCTCTCCAAGGTAACAGCATATACTGTTCATATGAACAAGAGAGATGTTGGAAACCAACACATTTTATGCACTAGCAGTAAGCTACAGCAGTACAACTTCCTTGGAACATTATCCCTGTTTACTTCATAGTCAGATCTAAAGAGATGATAAATTTGCTAGTACTATGCAAGACAGTTAAGCTCTACAAGCCTTCACTGTAGAGATCATTACAGACCTTCTGTTAATGGGACTCTAACAAGCGTGAGACACAACCCTCACTGCCATCACTATAAAACAAACAATTATGTATCTTCCAGGTAAAGCCTGGCAAGAGCAGTGGATTTGCAGGGATGTGGCTAACAATTTCATGTAAAGCATAGTTCAAAACAAAACAACAAAGAAATGCACAAACCTCCAAAACCTGAAAACTTTCACTAAATGGGCTGATCAGATTATGCCTAACTTGGCAAACCAGAATTTTCCAAGGAGTAAACACTGGTTTCTTGCTTTTTCACACTTCCTCTAAAATGTTCCAAAAATGAAAAAGCAGTTTTTTGTTAGTTAAAAAATTACTTTGGTCTGCAGTATTTTCTAATTTCTCCTTTGGCTAGTTCCAGTTCTGATTGCACTGTTTGCTGACACAAGTAGAGAGAAGCAGAGCAGCAAAGCACTTACTGTTCTGGACTAGAAACTGAAGTCCTTCGTCCTTCCACAGCAATATTGCTCTTGGGTCTCTTAACAACATGAGGTCTTGGCGGGCGAACCTATTGCATACACACACACAAGACATTTCATCAAGTACTTCAAGTTGATCAAACAGACATAAATAACAAAGTATGCATAACCACCGTTATCTTAAAGGTATCTTCCATTCAGAATTGCTTTTAAACTTTTTTCTTAGGCCACAACAATGTTACAAATGAGTATAGATATACCAATGAATATAAAGTATGAGTGTAAACTACAGGGACCTACAACTTGTTTAAGGACAAAAAACCCCACGTTTTTGAATATCAAATGAAACATATATGCTTGTCACTGACTGTTAGCTATTAGCAAAGCAATGAAAATTTGTTCCACCGTCCTGTTTGGTACAGGCTAAATTTCTGATAAAAGATTCCCTAAAGGTGAGCTTCCCTTTGTACAGTTAGTTGATAGAGTAAAATTCAAAATCCTGTGTGTTGCTGCATGTTATATTGGAAAGTGGAGTTCAGCTCTGACATCGTGAGCCTTTTGTCCACTTGTCCGTAAGAACCCAGCTTCTCGAGTGAAGACGCCTGTGTGAGGGAGCACTGAAAAATTTGTACTTAGAATAAATGTTTTAACATGAAAAATATAGCTCATTCTTCATTAAAAATTTCCTTGCTTTCAGCAGCTGAACAGAAACCCTTGCCAGACACATTACCATTATCACCCCTAATGCTACGTTAGTGGAACGTTTGTTGTCTGTAATAAAACCCAAAGCTTTTTTGTGGAAGATGATGTTGCTGCCAATCCAATCTTAAGTAACATATCCATCACCTAATGCTCAGAAATCAAGCTAAATCTACCTGCATTAACTCCAAAAGCAAACAAGCTTTACTTCATGGAAAGGAATAAGCAAATGTGATCGCTATACGGGCAAAGCTTCTGCGTGTGCCTGCCCACACTGGCGAGAAATGCTGTTGACGAACTTATCCCTTGGAGTCAAATGCAGGAACGAACATTGGCAGCATCAGGGTCAGGCTGTACAACCTTTCCAGTTTTTATTACGAAGGTACTGCCTTACCCAAAATGGAGTCTGATTTGTTGGCTTAGCTGAATGCTAGTTTCAACAGAAATCCCCAAAGCCCCCAAATAAAGTTAGGAATACAACTCAACTTCTGACCTCCCTGAGTTTCTGCTCCCTTAATAGTCACAATTCAAAGGCAGCTGTTAAAGGCCTACAACCTAAGCGCTTTTTGGGTGACTAATGAATTTGTTTGCAATGATAGAATAGATGCAGATTTCCCCCCACCTCTGCAGGTTTTCAGGTTTTTGTGGTGAGGGTTTTTTTTTGTTTTGGTTTTACTTTTTTATTCTTTGTTGGGGGTGGGTGTTTCTGTGCCCCCTCATTTTTTTTCCCCCAGGCACGTAAGCCTCCAATTTTCCTGCCAGGAAAAAGCCACCAAATTCTGTGTCGTGTTTCTGCACTACACAAAAGTATGCAGAAGATAGAAGCAGGATTATTGTATTGAATTTTCATTTCAAAGGAAATGGTGTACAGCAGATATGATGAAGAAATCCAGAGACGTATCGCCACTATTTCTTAGGAAAAAGGGCTTATAAAAAGGTCAGATGTTAAGGTCTTGAAGATCAGTCCCCACACAAGGCTGCTCCTCTCTACAATAAAGACGGCTTAAGAATGTGAATTTATGGCAGGAATGGAAGGATTAAGTTTGTGGTAACTTCAACTGAACTTGCAACGTGGTGAAACATGGGGAAAAGAACAACAGAGCTAATTAGACGAGCTGAGCTGTCAGAGTGCGGCTGAATGGCTCGGTGCCAACAAACAAAAGGAATGGGCTGGCAATCAGCAGGATCGATGAAGAATACTGCTTCATTAGGGTTGATAAAACAGAGAGAGAGAGCGAGAGCAAGAGAGAGCGAGAGCGTGCAAGAGAGGGGGGAGAGAAGCAAGAGGAACTGGGGGGAGAAGAGAGCGAGAAGGAGAAAGACAAAAAGAGAGGAAGAAAGAAACCTGTTTAATTAAATCTGAGCTGGAAGATGATGGGCAAAGCTGGCCTGTCATCACGCTGTGAACACTTTCACCTTTTGGGTGGTACCCTGGGCGATGAGGGAGAGAGATGAGAGTTTTGGATGGCTCCAGGGGGCCACCAGGCCAGTGAAGTGCAGGGTGACATGCTAAGTAGGATTTACAGCATTGTTCATGGGGGACTGCAGGGAAAAGCCAGGAATCAAGCCAGTTCCTTGCTGGATTTTGAGCCTCATGTAGCCAAACAGGCAAGGTTAAATGCTTATCAAATGCAAAAGTATGAAGGAAATCCAATTACATGAGCACACAGCCAAAAGAATAAAGGTAAACATCCATACAGAGGGTTAAACGTGCTTATTATTGTCCCCACCAACTTTATGCATAATTATTATATGTTAACTTTTTCCAATTGAATGAAGTTTCCAAACAGCCACTATTAATCCAAACAGACCTCTATTAATTATAAGCAACAAGCCCCTCTCTTTCATAATACCACCACAACTCATTTCCAACACAGCAGAATGTAAAGAAAATATCTGTTCTGCTTCCTCAACCTTTCTTTGCTCCGTGTTTTTGTTTTTATTATTAGAAATGACTCATAATGCAAGGACTAGTGCCCATGGATTCCTCCTCGTAAGAGATATATCCTGAAAACAGTAAGTATTTCTCAGGAATTCTGGTATTATGTGGACTTGGTTGGAGGAGCAGAGGGAGCTGGTCTCCTCATTCAGTGCTTGCTGTAGAAGGCTAGGATAAATTCCTTGCCAGTACCCACTTCTGTAATATATGCCAAGACTAAGAGGGGGGAAAAGCAGCCTGCACAAAGTATTATTTACACACACAAAAATGTGTTTCAACTATTAAAAGCCAAATAACAGTTCTGAACAACAACAAATTTATGTATATTTGGTACAAGCATATTTTTGGGAGTGATTATAATCATTTACATTTATCTTGAATTTCCTCTTGATGAATGAAGCATTTCTGTTCCACTTATTGACACAGCTAGATGAATGCAACAGGAGCTTTTATTATTACATTTCCAACCTTTTATCAATCACATTGGGAGCAAAGACAGTTGACACAAACACATTCTAGTGAGGGCTATTAATGCACTACAGCTGGGAGATTAAACAGGCTTAGCAAGACTTTGATGTAATAAATTACTCAATCCAAACATTACTGTTTAGCAACTTTTGTACAGAGGAATCGCACTGTGCCCTCAGACACCTGCCAAACACAAACCGAGAGGGCTATGGTGCGCTGCGGGAACCCCACAGCACCATGGAAAGTTTGTTCCCAGTGTAATGTATTTGGGAGGGTCTCCCATATCAATTATGTTTAAGAGAACACATATATATAGTCAATGCTACCTTTTAAACACAGAAAACAGAAATCTTCAGAGCGGGAATCCATAAAAATGGCTCTGTTAAGCTGAACACCCAGAGTTAAAAAGAGGGAGGAAAGGAAACACATGCTATTGAAATGTAACACAGGAACATGCACCAAAGATCAAGAGTTAACACACACCAAGTGCACTTGTTAACCAGTTGCCTGCTCATCCGAAACATATTTCCAACAAGTTTTAGCAAGATTAGATTTGAAAACTTGCATCTCTCTCTTTCTTATGCACGTACGTGGATGTATAAGGAAGCAAGGACTAAGATGTATTTGCCTTTTGGGGGAATTATATTCATAAAGCAAAAGTCCTGAATAGAAGTAAGTATCTTCCAAGGCTGTTGCAAAAAACACCACCCCTTCTAAACTGATACCACTTTCCTGTACTACTGGAAAAATAAAATCACTGGTGCAGATCCAGCACACTCTCCAGTTTTAAAGCCATCTGGCATAGCTAATATCTAACAATTGTCCTACAGTTAGTGTTTTGAATGTAAAACTGCTGAGATAAGATATCCCTGCCTAATACAGTCTGGGTAGTGCACTGAGAATAATTTCTGTGTAGTTCTCCTATGGAAGAGTCACTTCCTCTGGCCAGCATGCTGTGCCTATGTTTTTTATACGATGTAATTACATAGAGTCCCAGCCTGCACTTTAAATGAACATAAAGTATATATGTATATCATCCATAATGTGGTACTAACGTTCTACTGCCCAAATATAGACTTTGCTTTCTTCATGTGTATTCACTCATCTATTCCATGGAGACAAATTAAGTGTCCCAAATTAATTTAAAGCATAACTAGCAGAGAATAAATGCTTTCTGTTCAGACTTCTGCTTCCTTTTGTATTTGAGTTTAGTGCAAGTCTTCAAAAGCTCACTGGCTAAAAACTTATGCCAGCCTAGCAAGACTTTGTTTAAGAAATCACCGCAAAAGTAAAAACCACTGTAGCAATGGCAGCATCAGTTACCTGCAGAACTGACCGAAAGCTGCAGAACTCGTCAAAGAAAAGCAGAATAAATGCAGGTCCCAGGGCTGTGCCGCAGCAGAGAAGAAGGGAGTTTAGGAGCATAATTCACACATTCCTTTTTTGCAAAGTTTGACAATCCAAACTACCAAGGTTTAGTAATGCTACTAAGTGCGTAATTCAGGCAGTGTTAAGCTGTGGCAGTGAAACAAAACTACCAACTACTCACGGGCCTAGATGAACGCTGTATCTTTGGAGGCGGTGGCCGAGGCGGACGGAGTCTTTGCTGCTGTATCAAAGTGGAAACTAAATTAAATAGTCACCTACATGAAAACACCTCTGATTTTGTGGCAAAAGCAGTACGAGTGGACGGCAACACGTGATTTACCTTAACGTCATACTCACCTCACAAAATGCAATTGTTTTCTCCCCCCCTCTCCCTCCCGTAACCAGTGACAAATCTCATGACCTACGAAGCGCCACAATAGCAAAGGTAGCTACATCTGCCTGTTGACGGAGGGTTAACACAGCTGATGTTAAGCCAAAGGCAGCACGATGAGCACTCCAGACAAGACCATCAAAAATTTACTGAGACAACAAAGACACTCAAGGTGGATTCTTGGACCTCTACGTCCAAGCGGTCTAGACAACACGTATGCAAACGGAAAGAATCCTGCAAAGAAGGATATTCAAAAAAGTTTTCACTTAAATCTCAAGAATGATTTTAGTGCTTGTCAAAACTTATGGTAAAGGCCTCAAACCAGCAAAGCCATTTAAAAGCATGGAAAAAATCCCCAACCCTAAGTCAATTAAACTTTTCATACCCTTAAAGATGAGCACATGTGTAGATCCTGTACTGGGTCAAGGTTTGGATGCAATTGTCTACAGCAAAGTGTGTACTGTTATTGTAAAGAAAACTAAAAGCCTGATCACCAACAGTTCTAACGAAGACAGAACAGTGCATTAAGATGCCTATTTTTGTATCTCATTTTTCAAATTAGCAGTTGGCCAACTCATTGCTTTGTAACAGCACTGGAGCTATTCCAATCCAGTTGCTTTTGACTGAGCCAGCAGCATGACTCTCCTCACACAGATGGCACCTTAAGGTATAGGCTGTTAGACAAGGAATCCACTCACAATTAACGAGATTCTAAATAAAACCATCCTAAAGTACAACTTTGATATTGAGAAGAAGATTAAAGCTAATGTCCTTCCCGTGGCAGCTTGTGTACACGCAGTAGCTCTTCAGGAGAGAAGCAGAGCCCTCGGTGGGGAGGACACGGAATGGCTCTGAACTGCAGCTCGACCAGCCGCCGCCTGCACCGCTGCCCCAGCCCCCCCGCCTTCCGGCCGCAAAACCCCTCGGCGTGCAGAGGGAACAGCAACCGGCAGTGGGAGTCAGCTTCTTCAGACAGAAAAAGAAAGCTTATGCTTGTTGCTGTATTTCTCTCCAAAAAAGATTCCCGATTCAGAACTCAGCAGTTCTTCACTTCTTACCAGCAGTCTTTATTCTAGATTGACAGACATTCTCTCTCAACTACCCTCGCACTGTGTAACAGTACAACTCCAGCCTACCCTTTTCCACACCATTTCCATTATCTTCTTGCATCTCTTCAGACTTTTCTTTCAAATTTCCGATTAAATTACACTTTTGCATCCATTGGTTCATTTCTTCTTTTCTTGCTTGTGCTCTCAACGAGGGAGTGCCAGACTGCACACATGTACTTGGCTCAGCTTTTTGGGTGGGTGAGGAAAAAAAAAGACACGTGGGATAGAGAGCCGAGGCCAGAATTATTCCATGTGATAGCTTCCCTCTGTATTTTCCAAGAAAGCAAGTATGAAAACAAAGAGAACAAAGAGAGAAATGACATGGTGGCGAGGTGAGGTGGCTGCCGTTAGCTCTACTGAACTGTTTCTTTTCTGTACCTTCCATTATTCAACTCAGTCACAGAAGTGGAGTTGTGCTGCTGTGTATCTTCCCAGCTCATCTGCTCAGGTTGAGAGCACAATCTTAAAATATATTTAACTTCTGTTATGTGACATAGCATACTTATTTTCCATTATGCTTTGGAAGCATAATGGAACAGCTGAAAAATCTAAAATTTGCACTTTCCCAGTTACTTAAAAGACATTCACTTACTACCTACCAACTTAGGTAAAGTATTTCATGAAGCAGAAAAACAAGATGTAATTATTATTCATTTATTTTTTCAATTTTTTTATGCCTCCTGCACATCTACTTCCCTTTGTTATTTTTTCTCTTTTACTTACCCAGAAATTGTGAACATTTCTACATTAGAAAATTCTCAAGTAGGTTACTTAGGTGAGAAATTTAAGTATTTTCCTAAAGCTATGGCTAGCAGTGTCTTGAGCACTATTTATTTTCCATCACCATTTTAATTCTGAGCAAATAGGTTTTTATTGATATAAGAATTACAAGGTGTTACTTAACATGTTGATGTTATAATTTCTTCCGTTCGTATCCCTGAACGTGTTCGTTTGTTCCAAACACCATACTCCAGCCCTGGAAGCTTCTTTGATTTGGGAATCAGTTTTTCCTTTCTATAGCAAAAACCAGGATAATTTTTGAGGAAACACTGCAAGACTGTAGCATCAACAGTATTAGCTGATGGACCAATGGCAGTATTATTAAAGCTTCTGAAACAAGTGTGACAAAGGCAGGTCCTTCAGAGAGCAAGATGACAGACAACACAGTCACTGAGGATTACCTCCCAGCGAGATGGTCAATACATCGATTATAGTCATTGCAAGGACACGTATGACTGTACTTTACTCACCCCATCCATGTACTTGCTGGAGGAAAAATATTTTTCTGAGAATATGCAGGACAGGATTTCTTAATTATCTGACACATCACTGTTTGATTAGACAATGGCAATAAAATCAAGTTTTAAATATTTGGGGGTATCTGAAAACTACACTTTGTGTTAAAAGAGTCACCAATATTGGTACACTTTTCAGCTGAATTGCAAATGTGAAGTGAAGACTATCCATACCCAAGTCAGAGAGCACACAAAAGAGTAAGAGCATCGGCTCCCAGGGCAGCGCAGGCACGGCAGCAGCCACGCAATCCTCCCCGGAGCCCGGAGCAGGCAGGCTCTGTACCTGTGCGCCAGTCTGGAGGACACCACCCGGTCCCACATGCCACGTCCAAGAGCAGTGAGGTTCACAGTAAACTGCACACAGTGGCTGAGCTAACTACAAAAACCGGAGTGAAGAAAGGGGTTTGGCAAAGCAGGAGACCACATCGTCAGCTGGCACTGGTGCACAAAGGGCCTCTCTATCAGACATCTCCTGATGCTGCTGATCAAACAGAGGCAGTTTGCTTTGGGTGATGGTTACGTTATTAGCTCAGTAACAATAAACTACTCCTTTGCAGGAGCTCATACTTTCACATCCTTATCCTGTCATTGGATTATTTTTTCCAGCTGAGATTTAAGCATCACATATGATTAAGCTTTCATCTCTGATCAAAAAATAATTCTATGTGTTTCCACAATAAAGACACATACAAATGCTGCTTTGGGAAAAGGTTAAAGGTGTAGAAACTTTTGCGTCTCTTGCACTTTTAAATAGGCATCATGGTAACTCTCAGAACTGTGACCTCAGTACTTATAACAACACAGTCAAATCCAACACTCAGATTCACATTTATCTTATCCACTGAAGCGCTACCAGAAACAAAGTTCATTTTGAGGTCTTGTATGTATTGTACCCCATATTACATTTCTGAACCCTAAAGGGATCTGAATAGAATGATAAGACAAAAATACATATTCACAGCAGTGTGTTCTCTCCATTAAATATGAACAGGGAAATAGTACGGCTGAAACCAGTGTTGTGAAGCACAGAGAAGAACAGGCAAAGGGCCCCGAGGAGTAACTGACGGGGAGGCCCACCAGGAGATAACAGTTATTTGCCCTTTACCAGAGCTTCATTTTTAATGTTGATGTTAATATCTGTCACCAGAATGGGATAAGCAGGTATATTCAAACTATATGAAGACCATATTTACTGGAAAAGCCACTGATTTGAAGTTAATTTGTTAATGCAGCAAAACACGTTGTTTCTAAAAGGTCAGTAGGGGAAGCTGTGTTGGAATATCAACTTAATTACCTGTGCTGTAAGGATGAATGGGTACAAAACAGCACACAGCTACATTGCTAAAAGCTGCTAAATTGCTATTCTTGGTATGTTCCTAAATGTATATACGATATTTTTTTCTATGAAGGGGAGAAATATCTAAATTAGCACTTTCTTACCAGCGGCTGTTTACTAGCATACCTTTTTACTCTAGATATTTTCTTAATTATCTTGTTCTAAATACTTCTGAAGCAACAAGACAAAGTTTGCAGAAAGCAAATTTTATGACTGCAGATCTGGCACTGTTTTACTAATTATCAAACAAGTGATTTTAAGCTATGAGAGGAGGAAGAAAAATCTTACATTCACTTTTACATTGTAAAAATTCTATTTTAAAATTATAGATCCCACATCTCATAATGTAGCTATTATATATCCAAGAAGCTTTCACAATATGACGATTTAGGTTTTTTAATACTAGAGAAAACATTACAAAAAGATCATTTTTGGTCTGCGAGGAAACAGCTTGTAAGCAGAATATTATCTCAAACTAATTGTGGAAGTCTGTTGAGATTTGTTTTTAAAGTCATATTCAAAACAGAGCCTTTATGAGTAAATTAGAGGTGCTATTTCATGTGCAGCAACAAGTGCAACTAGAAAAAATGCATAAAGGAAACACAAATAGATGAAAGCTGGTTTGTTAGTACATGTAGCAGGAAGCATCTCTCTCTCTCACTCAGTAGTAAGGGGTGTTTCTAATAATTTCCAAAGCAAAGCTTTTCTACACGAATATCTTATTTCCTTAAGAAATTCAGGACTGGTTTAAAAACTGCTAGTATGTTCTAAAGACAATCTGACATGGGAGAGAGATGCAGTGTCCTGAATGTACCCATGCTCAAACACATCGTGCTGCAAAAGATCCAAAGTGCTGACTTTGGAAGAATATGCTGGACCTCAACTGAACAGTCAATTAAAAAAAAAAAAAAAAAAAAAGGATAAAAACACTGAAAAATGTATGGTACCTAAAAAGATTCAGTATAGAAAGCAGATGGAATCTACGAGGCAGCTGTTTTATTATCCATCCAGATCCCTGCACAGCGCGCACACTACTTTTTACATACTCCCATATGTACAGCTCACAAACCAGGATGACAAGAACAGTGTATGCTTTACAGCATATATTTT